TTTAGGACTAGATAATTCTAGGGATTCATCATTAGATCTTGATAATTTTAAGACTCCTAAATTAGGACTAAATGGCTTATGGGAATCAATATTAGGACTAGATAATTCTAAGGATTTGACGTTACGACTAGGTGGCCCTAGGAATTCAATATTAGGACTAGATGGCTCCAGGGATTCAACACTATAACTAGATAATTCTAAGATTCCTACATTAGGACTAAATGGTTCAAAAGAATCAACATTAGAACATTAGAACTTACTGCATAGTTACTCCTGTCCCTATAAGATCCAGCAAACGCCCCATGTTTAATTCCCATTGTGTCCATCTAAGATTTACAAATTCATATACCAGTCTAGCTTAAACATGAATTGAATATGAACCGTATTGAGGTTAGGTTTGGGTTGGATTCCTTAATTTCGAGGTATTAATTTTAATTTATACTCCTTAGTTTTACCCCATAAATTCTAGTAATAGTGTTCCTTAAATAATCTGAAATTAGCCGAAACTATGACGGTCGGATATAACCTCACGATACTTGTCGAAGCTTAGGGCTTCTTTATACTTAATTTCCACCTCGATAATCGTCCGTTCGTAGATTCAACCACCGGTCACCGCCGCGAATTAATCAGGAAAAATTAGAACCCGAACTTAACGAGAAAAATATTAATACCTAATGGCGTGATTCCAGCCTGGCCTATTTCGTTGGACCAGCGTGAAGTTCGCCGTGTCACGGAATTAATCGAGCCCGTTTCCCTATTTTTAGACACGTTCGCGTAATTGAATGTCAATTCCGCGCTCGTTAACCAGCCGCCGGTTGGCAACACTGGTCTACCCTCTCGTAGCGAACGTCAATGGTAATAATTGAATTTTTCACAAGGGACGATCTATTCAAATCGTCGTACCAACGTTCCTCCTTCCGGTCTTCACTAAACATTCCCCACCCAACTCCCGTTCCAATATAAAGCTCCATTTCCACGGTATTAAAACGAAGGGATTGTTTATTGCGCGACGAAAGACCGAAAATGAAATAAAAGGATAAAATGGGATGAAATCGACATCGGACGAAGGGCAGTGAAAATTAAAAGGATCAATCAGAGAACCGGAATTGCAACTGGGTCGTTAAAGGAGCGAAAATTAAAACTTCCGTGAACATCGTGTCGAGATATATCAAAATAAAGTTTCATTTTCGAGATATTTCGTGAGTACAGTGCAAGATAAATTGCACGTTTGTAACGATGTCGAATGTTTCGAATGCCATGTCAGAATATCTCAGCTCGATTGCTAGTCATTGTTTACATCATCGTCGGGGTAATAAAATTCCCCAAACTGAGCCAAATCTAATGGTCACATAACCTATACTTGAACTGGGAGTGTAATATTTCAATCGACTATCGGATGTGGTTGACCTAACCTAAAAATTAATATCCGAAGATGTTTTCGTGACTGTATCGCTCATTAATCCTTCAGAATATATAATCTTCGTTAATAATTGTCGGTAACAGTACGATATTCTAATTGTCTAAGTGTTTAGAATATTTGGGACTCTATTATAACCTAAAAATTGTGATTTGATGATGTCTGATGTGACAGCGTGTTCGATATTCAGACAAGTCCAATGGAAAGGTAAAAATTTCGATCGACTTTAACAATCTTCAGTAATAATTTAATACTGTAATTGTCTGAATGTTTAGAATATTTGAGATTCTGTTATAACCTAAAAATTGCGATTTGGCGCGACAGGGTGCCCGATATTCGGACAAGTCCAATGGAAAGGTAAAAATTTCGATCGACTTTGCGTCATAAGTCTACAACATCTGCCAATTCCCTTGGCCAAGTTGCGTTTAGCCGTCGAGGGTCTGACCACTCGAGATACGTATTTATTTTCGGATTTTGTGTATCGTGAAACAGCCTGTATATACCTCTAAAAGTAACCGTGATACGTCAACAAGCTACACGATCATTGTAAATATTTGGTCTGTGCACGTGAAATGTCGTTTTCGCAAATAATACTTCAACGTATATTTAATTAAAACAATTCCCACGTTATTCTACCCATTTTTCAACTAATTTGATTAAGTAATTAATTCCAATATTTCCATATACGTATATACAAAACTCGCAAGTTTTCACTTCAAAAGTTCTTCACATTGTGCATTTAAAATTTGTTTTGTCTCGAAATAATTTATTTTAACTTGAAAAAAAAATGAAAATAAAAATTTGTGTATACAAAATCGAAAAAAAGGAGGAAAATTTTGTATCCCAATTTTTGTACATTTTTATTCTAATCGTGCAACGTAATTGGTTTTATTTGTAACTTAGCAATATGTTTTTAGTGTAATCATAATTACAGGTTAGGAAATGTAGTAACGAATTAGTCCTACAGATGGCTACCAAACTCTTCAATCATTCATAGAATGAAGTTGTAGTTATAACACTTTGTTTACACATTATAGTATCGAATCATGGTCTTGAATTTAGAGTTACTATACACATATATTTTGATAATAAATGACGATACGTTTTAAAAATGGATCCCATTTATTTCTTCGATACGAGGTCATTATGTCCGCTCACTTGAGCTTCAGTATATCGCTTAACTCACACTGAACTCGTTCATCCATTTTCTTTATTTTATTTTATTTACGCCAATCGATGAATAACGCTAAAATAGATTCTCTTCATGTGGAACGATATTTCTTTTGTTGCTCGTCGTGGATTATTTTCAATAATATCACTCGAAACCCCGCCTACTCGTTAGCTCATCTCCCGATAAAAATCGCCATTTTTGAATTTCGCAAATCTGTCGTTGAACAGTCACAAACGTTTATATAACCTTCTCATAAATTCTAAATTTATGCGTTCATTATTTATTTCATTTATAACATTATTTATGTTCAGTATTTGAATTCATATAAAAAATTCGCACGAATATTTTGATTTTAATTTGTCCTTTTTTCTTTTTTGTACGTTTTATTGATATTCGTAAGTAAATCTGCGCTTTCTTGGTACGGTTGATAACAATCGATGACAAAATCTCGAGAGAAACTATGTTGTTCTGTGTACGTCTATTTAATACATTGTGAGGTTAGGAAACCGATGCCAAGGTGTTGTTTGACGTGGTTCTCAATGTATAATCATTTCCTGCTGGCGTCACACGTCGGATGAAGACACTGACAAACGGCCACTTAATGTTTTCCTGGCTCGATAAAACCGATCTGTCGTGACGATGCAACGAAAACACGAATCCGTGACCATCGCTTGACTTAAACAGGCATTTCAACGTTATGAGGTTATGTAGGACTCGTGAGAGTATGTACATAGAACATTGACTATCTATCGAATGAAAGAAATTTATTTATTAGGATAATATATTGACGACATTGGTTAATGACAAATGGGACGTAATTTATTGAAAGTAAATTTAATTTTGAAGTCAATAATGAAATTACAATGAAATGCTCCACCCTAACCTCTCAAGGAATATTGGTATAAATGGATTTATAACATTTTCTTATATCCATCTAGCTTTTTATATTTGAAGTATTTGAAGATTTTGAAAGCTAAAATCATCGTTATTTTCTTCTTTGAGTAGAGGAATTGCCAAAACCATGATCAAATTTTTTAATACACTATTAGTATATGCTTTATACGATCCTTTTTCTTATGATAATGTAAATTTTGGTCAAATAATTCTACGTATAAGTAATATATTAATTACAATAAGAATTAATTGTAACTTCGCATTTCTCTCATTGGGTGGAGTCCAAAATGAAATACAGTGTTTAATCCCAAGTGGACTGAGAGTCCTAATGGTATAGTAATGTAATTATTATAATTCTTCTTTAGAAAGGAATTTAGGGATGTCTATAGTCATTGGAAAAGTTGAAGACCAAACTGTTAATTGACTGATGACGTTTGCAAATCTTCTACAGACAAGGCTGTTTCCATGAGCGACGTTTCAATCGGGCCCGGGGCTGTCCGTTCAATTAATTAAATGGAACGTTGTTTAAAACGTTTCCACAGTTCTGTCGGGGTCGCGGTCGCTCTATGGCGGCGCCTAAAAGCATAGACAGGCGAGAGGGTGCGTAATGTCAGACACATCGGGCCTGTGATACAGGATACACGAGACGTCGAGTTCTCTTCAAATATTTCGACGCGTGGAGAACGGATGGCCGCTCTTGTATCAATAAACAATTAACGGGCGTCAGTGAATGCTACCAGAGTGCATTGTGCGCTGGAAATATCCATGGAAGAGTTGTCCCAAAACAGTGAACCTCGGGGACAATTAGCGGGATCAAGGATAAATCGATCAGCCTGTTAACTGGCGGCACAATGATGGTCAGTATATTAGTCCTACATTAATGGAAGCCTGCTTCATTAAAAATTAATGACATCTATCAACCGGGACATTAATGCCTGTAATAACGCTAAGCGCCGATTAGTTTAATGGATAAGGTGACATGAGAAATTTGGCATCGAAACTAGGTGACCTTGAGGTTGCAATATTAGTGCTAACTGATTCTAGGAATCCTACATTAGGGCTAGATGGTTCTAGGGATTCGATATTGGGACTAGATAATTCCAGGGATTCGTCATTAGAACTAGATAGCTCTAGGGATTCAACATTTGGGACTAGATAATTCGAGGGATTTGTCATTAGGTCTAGATAATTCTCAGACTTCCACATTAGGACTAAATGACTTAAGAAAATCAACATTAGGACTAGATAATTCTAGGGATTCGTCAATATTACTAGATGGCTTTAGAGATACAACATTGGGACTAAATAATTCTAAGGACTCGTTAGTAGGGCTAGATGGCTTTAGGAATTCGATATTAGGATTAAATAATTCTAGAGATTGAACATAAGGACTAGATGGCTCTAGAAACTCACCATTAGGACTGAATGACATTGAAAGCTGAAGATCTGAACGAGATGTCATTCAGGTCCTACATAAGTCTTAAGTCTAACTGATTATCTAATTCTTTTTATCAACAGTTTCAGAGTTCGCCCAGGAGCTGGGCGCGGCTATGGAAAGCCATTCAGCGAACGTACGACGCCTTGTCGACGAGTTTCGAAGTCGGTCTGGAGACACTAGGGTTGATACCGGCGGGATGCGACGAGTTTGGGAAAGTTTACTACGTCAGGTGCAGTCAGATGCAGAAGCTCACTTAGACCTGGCCGCAGTTCTTCAACAGCAGTTGTCTAGACCCACCTTGGAAGCCAGCTTCCACCGTAAACTCCAGTCTAGGAAGGTAATTCACTCCTGATCCTATCGACTATGGAAATTGAAGAAATCCCTGATGACAGAAGTTTGGTCAAATCCCTGGTATTTTCTGTTCCTCGTACCAGCTCCAACGCGTGAACAGTAGTAACGTTTCAGAGTAAGATTCGTCAAGTGATATATCCCAAATCACACGGAGCTGCCGATGCCACTGATAATACGAAAATCTTCCCAAGGACGAAATTACATTTGCATCATAGTAACTCATTTGAAGTTACTTCATCCTTGACAAGATTTTCGTATCGGAGGTATCAGGTGGTCCTTCCAATGGAAAATTGAAGTTCTCGAGAGAGACTCTTCAAAGGCCTCCTTTACAACTCCAGGTGTCCCTAAATGTCAACACTTAGGTTGAATAGAACTGCAAATCATCAAACCCTATTAATCAGTCTACTTCCTACACTGTTCCTATCCCACGATGAAAGTTACTTCAAGTTCCACATCTCCACAGGTAACTAACACGCATGATCCTATTATAAGAGTAGAATTATGACAGAAAACAGAGAAAAGGAATAACAAATTCCTGTTCCCAGGTGTTTTCGCATCGGGAGGCCTACGAGCAAGTGATCGTGAAGACCGAGGAGAAGCTGCAACGTGCCCGGGCGGATTATAAGCGTGCTTACGCCGCGGTTTTGACGATAGATGGCGGAAGCGAGCAGGAACTGAAGCGCGCCTACTACGAGGCGCACAATGCTTACGTTCTTCAATTGAGGGCCACGAATGCCATCACGGAACGGTACCAGTCACAATGCCTACCCACTCTGCTCGGCGAAATAGCGGAAGTGTACGAGGAACTATGCGGATTAGCTTGCAAATGCGTGGCCGGCATATCGGAAGCGGCCGCGGAGCGCGCTGGGGAGCAGGCGAAGCGTTATCTGGCGGTCGTGAAGGAGGCTCAGGTTGTCGCGCCGCTGAATGACCTGCAAGTATGTCACACCGATACCTATTGCGATTCCCCCCTTGTTCTCTGACATTTGCAAGTTCAGACTGTGCCTCGCTGCACGCGATGTGCAATGTAACCAGCAACGAAAGGAAGGGGATCTTATCAATCGATAGAACCGAATTACGTTTGTGATGAGCTTGCCAGTAGCCGAGGCGTGAAGCTGTGGAAGGCTTCCATTCGTGAGATTCCAGCGTATTGCCTGAAAATTAGCATGTTCTCTTAGATGTACACGATCGATATTACTTCTTAAGGTTAGGCATAGTTTTGGGAGACGAGAAGAAGAAGGAATGTCGATACCAAGCGATAGAGATTAGTCCAGTGTACGTATAAGTCCAAGTATCGTCACTGACTGCTGTAATGGGGATTTTGTGTTCAGGTTTTGGCACGAAGCCTAGGAGCCACCGCGACCCCATCGAAGAAGCCCCCCAGGCGGCTGTTCGTGACGCCAGGTCCTCCCGAACAGGTTCCCATGGAAAGAATCAGTCAAATACCGACCCTGAGGGACGAACTGGCCCCAACAGGAACCAGCACTCTACCCCTGATGGAGGATTTACGACGAGAGCACGACAGTCTCGCTCAAGAAATCACTCGACTCCAGGACGCCTTGGACGCGTTGACCCGCATGCAAAGAAAGTGCGTTCATCTTCCGGTCTAGGTGAAAACTAGGCAATTAACAGGCTGTTTCTCAACCGTTGAGAACCTGGCGATTTGAATGGATACGTATCTCTTCGAATTAACTGCACCGGAGGGGCAAAATGGTCACCCCCTGGTCCTCGAGGATCGGATGCTAGGGAGATGGTGCTTCTAGGGATCCTCCATTTGGGATTTGGGAAAGTAATTTCGCGATATTGCGGTGCTGGCTTTGGGCACGAGCATGATCGATAACGCAAAGAACCGACGGTATATAGAATCCGGGGTAGAAATGATTAATGCCTAGTAAAAGAATTCTAATTACCTCTCATTCCACTTTTCGGTGGCCGGTTGAATTTATCAAAGGTAAACACGTTACAAAGGCACCACGATTCTCAAGCGGCTAGTATTTCCCGAATCGGTGGGAACACTCGACCCTTTTGCGCTTTAATCCCCTGAAACCGGGATCGCTAAACGGTTTTCTTTCTTTAATTGCAGGAGCGCCGAAAGTAATCTTTACACGAAAGTGGCCGAGTTGCAGGAAGACATTTCAATGAAGCGTTTCGAGCTAGGAGAGGCGCAACTATACCTCGCAGCTGTGCAAGCGCAGGTACGCCAATTGATATGTTTTGTTAGCAAACGTCACAGCGATTCAACCAGTTCCTTTATTTTCTGTGGGTAGGAACGTTAATAATTGATACATTTCACCAACCGAGAATTTATTCAGCGCGAACTGTATCGCTTCGAAAACAGTTGTTAGCTTTTAGTTACTTAAAGCTCGAGTCCTTTGTAACCGCATGATGAATTTAGGGACTTATGGAATAAAAGATCTATACGTATACTTCAGAAGTAGGTAACCAAACTTTTGATCAAACAATACCAAGGTTTAACTATCTGTTTCTGAAACGACCTGTACATTTATTTTTCTCTGATATCTTCTTTATCTCTGTTATTTCTCGTATTTATTCGCGACACGAATAATTCTAGTAAATTATCGATAGAATCGAATGTTTATTTCATTATGTAATGCAAGGTTGAAAATAGTTTAACCCCGCTCTCAAATTTATGAGATTGTTCGGTGAGGCTACTTCACTTTCTCCGAAGAATGTCTTCCATAATAACTTTCATAATAATATTAACTTTCCACCAAGCTTTTCCTCTTCGTGCTTCTTTTCTGGGTCGTTTAACTGAACCTCGTGCAAGATCGATACCAGAGAAAACGGAGACCTATTAGCGATTATCGAAAGTTTACTCGCAAATTGCCGCGCGCCAGTGCCGGCAACATAATGTCGCTAGCGAGAAAAAAGCACATCGAAAGTTCCGCGCACTCGGGCTAAAAACTTGCTACCACTTCGGCGAGTCTGGGTCGTTTTCTTGTTTAGAAAACCACGACAAGGCCTGCAGAAAGTTTTTTCATCCGCGGCAGAAAAGTTTCCGAGACTCTGATGTAAGGGAATCCGACGTGTGCGCGTGTACGTGTGTACAGGTGTTCGGGGGTAGAGAAATCGTTTGACGACCTCGAGATTGGATTTGCGACGAATCCCTCAGGGAAGATGTATCACAGAGAAGAAATATCACCGATTTCACGCTGTTGTTCGCTTGTACCAGCGATCTTCTGTAGTCAGTAGCGCTCCTTTGCTCACCATTCCATTTAAACGCGAAAGCATGTTATACCTCCATCTATGTAACAGTATGAAGAATTTTTCAATCCCAAAACGAACCTTCTAGAAGATAAAACATTCGATAAAAATATCGTTTATTTCTAGGTTATACCTTACATAACCTGTAACGAAATATTCAGTTTCACCGATTTTAATTTGTAATTTCCATTGGGTAATTTTTATATAGGTTACTTTCCTGGGAACGAATGCGTGATCGAAATTCTTCGAATTATTATCCTAACCTAAAATCGTATTCGTTTAATTGATATTACGTAGATGTTATGTTGCATTATATCGATCGAGTTCATTCGATTACGAAAAAGGAATAAGTGCCAGAGAATATCGTCTGTCACTCGTCCCTAACCTCTACCAATTTGTCATCAGCCATTGAAAAGATCACGACATCGTATCAGGATCAGCTGTCAGCAAAACCATTATTCTCATCAGCAATCCAACCACCTAACAGCCAGTGGAGTGCCTGAGAGCGACAAAAGGGCAATCCGTGACACGAGGTATCGGCTTGAGACGGCCAATCGAAGAAGTCTGTCGAGACAAAGGAACGTGTCGATCTCGGCCACGAGAAAAAGAACTAGCCCCGCGGAGCATTCGTGGTTGTCGACTCGAGAGACTCAGCCGATTAAAATTAGCTCGAGCCTCCCATTGTTCCCTTCCACAGGCCTAGAACAAGTACAATGCACCTTGTCTGCACACCTGCACGTGCTGCCGCAGTTTCACGCTTTCTCTAGTGCGATTCGTGTGATCGGTTGGGCCGGCAGCGAGATAAGTCGCCATATTGGAAACTAATAACTGGTCTCCGACCGTGAGTAGATGCATGAAGATTTTTCTACGAGAAGCAATGCGTGTTAACTGGTTATATAAAGGGACTTTAGAATACATGTCTCTATCAGTGAAGAGCAATCCATGTCAGTCGTGATCAAATTTAGTAGAATTGGTAGAATTTTGAGGTTATGCAGTAACAATCATCCTAGGAACTTTAAGGTTTTAAAAATTTTTATTGCAGATTAATTCCTAGTCAAGTAGGAAGATGTGCTTTAAAAATTTTAGGATTTTTAGAGAAGTACTCTACATTTTATTTAGTGGACACGTTATTAAAGTACCTACCCCAACCAGAGGTCAAATTATTCCGTCAATTTTTACTCCGAAGTCATAATAATCCATGAAAAGATAAAATACCCCAGGGGCTTTGGAATACGTGTATGTACTAGTGAAGAGTAATTCATATCAGTCGTGATGAAAGTCTGTGGAATTGGTAGAATTTTAAGGTTATGTAGTAACAATTATTCTAGAAACTTCAGTATTTTCCAAAATTTTAGATTAATTCCTATCCCCATAGGATGACGTACACTAGAATTCTAGAATTTTTAAAAAAGCTCTGTAAATTTGATTTAGTGGGCATAGTATCATAGTACCTACTCTAATCAGAGATCAAATTATCTCGTCAATTTTTACTCTAATAGCATAATAATCCATGAAATGACAAAACACTGGAAACTTCCGTTAGTAGGTTAACCGAAAAGTATTCACGCATGGACTGACCCCAAACTAACCTAACCTATCCCAAATCGTCATGTCCGAGGACTCAGACCCGATTCGTGTTCCGGGCTGAAACTCATCAACGGGATCACAAGCGCGAAAGAGGCAAGGACGACATTAAAAAACCACTCGAGCCGAAAAGTCGGAAATACGGTGTCCTTTGTCGTGACATGAAAGCTGAAAGATACGTGAGACAGATTTTCGCATTACGCCTCGCGTCGTAAAAGCAGCTGCATGAAAACTGAGCATCTCTGGCCACTCGTTCCCCAGCGGAATGGGGATGAATTAAGAGGGGAAGGCTACGAACGATTCCGAAACGAGTCCGGGAGTCAAAAAGACGTAAATCCCGTGATCCCCTTTCCTCGTCGCGAAAATAACTCGAACAGCAGAGTGTACGTACTCGAGGAGCGTACATACGTGCTACGGGAAATGCTCGCTTCGGCAAACTCGCCTGCTTTGACACGCGCCTGTCGGTATTCGAATCGCGATGGAGTCGTGATCGAAATTTTTTGAATACGAACGTGGCTGGCACGCAAAATGATAAAGATGACCCAAGGTTGCGAATATTACCTGTTTAATATCTTCCACAGCTGTATAGGAATAAGAGGTTGGCGCAAAGGCAACAAGGACGTAGTTTGCTTCCCCCACCACTCTGTCCCGGGTCAGACATGTTGATAGAGGAGGTTAGGTTATGTCGTCACGGGTTTTATCTGACGTTGATATGATAGGATATCTACATTTGCATTTTATTTCCTTGTCGACATCGATGCTACATAATCATGATATTTTCAATAATAAAAATCCGTTAAAATAGATATTTTAATTTTAAGAAATATCGACTTTGGAAGCCTTGTTTCGCACCTTTCTTATCTTTTATAGGTTATGTTTCGCAGAACTGAAGTTGAAATATTTTTCGAAGTAATTATTTCTGGTACTTTTTGGTGGACAATTAAACGATATATCGATCATTATATGGAAAAATACGTAGTTTTATTTGAAAAGATGGTGATGATTTCGAACAAACATAATTGGAACCGATTTAGCTTTTGCCTCGTAAAATTTTTTATAATATCATTCTGAAACTGTAACTTGGTCCATTTGCTAAGAACATTCGGTATATTAGACTGTTTACCTGTTTTAGAGTTGGCAAAAATTAAAGCAAGCATAACCTAGATTTGTATTAGTTCAGCAGACTTAACCTGGACTTCAACACTGACAATATGTCAGACTTAGCCAGTGTGTAGTTAATGGGAAGCTAACCTAAACCGAGATCTAACTGTCTGGTAGGCAAATCTGCATAATTTGTACCCGTATGAATCTAATCCTAACCTAATTCATCGCTAACGTAAGTACCTTCATTAAACTTAAAATTACCCAACTATCGAACATAACCTATATAAATCGGTCTATTTATTTTTAGAGAAAACCGTCGAAATCCAATATGTCTGTCGATAGAAGCGAGCAGTGACAGGAATGGAAATCGTAAACGAAGGTTTGTGGAACGGGAAAAAGGAAACGCGAGGTGAAATTTCATTTTTTTTTTTTTCCATTCAGAGACAGGCGCGTTAAGCGTGCATCTCTATTCAATAATATTGATTTACATACGACTTTGAAACACGTGCATGTGCCTACCCATCGAAAGCATCATACTAGTCGAGGAGATTGGCCTGATTCGAGCATGCCACTCGAGCATTTGTAAAATACCTGAATACGACGTGTCCTGATCCGTCACTTGGCATGCCAGAGACTCGGAATACCAAAATGGAGGCTGATCCGGACTGCGCAACACCAAAAACTGAAAATTTTTCATCCGAATTGGAATAACAATTCACAGTAACAAATCGAATAATAATGAACAGAAGATCAGAAAATCAGTAGATCAGAAGATTCTCAAGTCGTCATATGCTCGCAAAATTAGATATCGAATTATTAGAGCAAAATCCACGAATATTCATCGAATAAAATGAAACAAAGAATATTTTGCGAAATATTGGAGCGACGTTAATTAAAATTATCAAGTTAAACGAAGATAGGAATTTCCTGCAAGGTATCCGGGGATCAAGATCCTGAAGTTGTGATGAGTCTGCTCGATCAAAGTGGTTCATAAATGTATTCGGTAACAGAGGTGCCACAGTGATCCCATAGATCCTTAGAATTGGGCACGTAGGCAGGCAGATTAGAGATTGAAACAAGGTCGTTTAACCGGGGTGCTTTCACCGGGAGAGATCGATATTGGGGGCAAGTCCTGCTAAAATTTTCAACAAGACACGTTCTAATGGACCTGTCAGCGACCACTAGAGTGTCTATGAAACAGGCCGTCCAGATATCGATAATTGCCTGCTTCGATCCCTCCTAGCAATTTCCTTTGCATTAGACTTCCACCTAACCCCTATTGCTTTTACAAGACGACGGAGAAGGATCGTGTTTACTATAGGAACCTAAAGACTTTGAGCGAAATACACGAAAACGCGAACAGACATGGATATTTTTTCCACTTCTATTTTTCCATCACTCTTTTTCCATTTCGACTACGGAGTGTGATTCGATTGGAAACGGTTCTTTGAAATATTCAAAAAGCATCCCTGATCGATAGCGCTTGGATGAAATCGTAAAAGTTGCTCCAGTTCCTCGAATATGGTAGAAAACGTTCCAGCCCGTTCTGCATTCCCGTTCAATTAAAATATTCAAGAGCATTTCAATTCCTGATAATTCGCTGAATATTTTACGAGCAATCGTATTAAAATCTCATTAAAATGTCAAAATTCCAGTGAGAATTGCAAGAAGCCGAAAGAGCCTACATTAACGACAAGGTACAAAGAAGAACTCAATTATTGCTCTCTGTTTTCGAGCCTCCTATTGTAATAAATTCGGCCAATTTCTCAGTCTGTCGCAAACTTCCCTGGGACGTTCAAGAACTAGTGCAATTAAAGTTAAAACATATTTGGACCGGGACCAGGAGGCTAAAAAATAGACTAGCAAGATGATTTAAAATCTCGTACATCCAAGGCTCCTGTTCTATTCAATTCCATGGATCCATTCAAACTCGTACGACAATCAGACGTCTCTGGAACGTCTAAAAATTGGTCCAATCAAAAAGTTTCGTCAACCGAGGGAGCCAAGAACGGCAGCCCAATTAGTACAAACATTCTAAGTTCCTTCACTGGCTGGAAACTTCTGTCCCAATCAATTCTACAGATCCATTAAAACTCGCGTAATAACCGAAACTTCTTGGAGACCTTTAAAAACTGTCGTAATCAAAAGTCTCGGTGAGAAGGTTCAGAGGGACCAAAGAAGAGTGACCACCCTAAATTGACAGAGTGGTGTTAATCCCCGCAAGATGTTCGTTTGAAATACAACCAAGAGATACGTAAGGATGACTCAGTGGAGTGAAAAATCAAAGGCAGAGGCGCGTAAACAGCACGTGCTGCGGAAACGAGAGTACCACATGCGGCGAGCGAATAAATACGGCGCGCAATCGCGCGACATGCGCCCTCACAACTAGGTCAGCCTCCGACGCGACCGTCTGAAAATCCATTCCTGGCCTCGAGTCCGCTCTCCTAGGTCAGAGTGGCAGGAGGAGCCTGACTAGTCCTCGGGAAAATGGGCTGGACAACGCTGCGCACACAAGTCGTTAGTATCCCCTTGAACACCTGAAACACCTGGTCCCCTTCGCTTTCTATCGCGAATCCAGGTCACCATCGGCATCTTCACGGAAGCAGAAGGCAATCGAAGCATTCCCTGAACCGTGGAACGCTTTTGCGCTGGTGAATCCTCGCGTCCCTGGCTCCAGTCAGCTGTAGTCCGTTGCTATGCGGCTCCCTGCGGTCACTATCGGTCCTCTCTGCCTCGCAGGGATAAACGGTGTGTCCAGTGATACCTGATACGTATCTGTGCCGATGAAACTCGCGAAATCGCAGTGGATACAGGTCTATTCGAAAGATAGGTCAGCTGCCTCCAGGCCAGCTGGTGCATGGTGTTTGAACACGTGACTCGCAGTGTCTCAAGGCACTCAGGACACATAGTCCCTGTGGCTAGATGACACGCGTGAAAGAAGATCTTAGGACACGTGTTCAGAGTGAAGTGTGTCTGCTTGGTTGAATTGACCCAAGGAATTGGTTCACAATTGGCCTTTCGCTGCTATGCAAAATGGACTCTTCGCGGACTGGTTTTTCCCCTTGGTGCTGTGGTTTCGAGGAATTTCGTGGATGGAAATGATCGCAAATAGCTTCGTTTGTTACTCCTTGGAAGGGATCTTTCATCCTGTGGCACCTTTCCTCGACGTTTCGATGAGATTTATCAGTGATGAGATTTATCAAGTGACTGTGCATTTGCTTTGCAACTGGTGTTCCTTTTTCCGTTTTGCGACGGTTTTTCAGTTTGGAAACTGCAAATCATAGAGTGTAGTATACCGTGGAATAATGTTGAGCGAAGTTTGGTTCGCTGGTCGATGCACCTTGAGTCTCTTTATGAATGAAGTCCACACGATATACCCAGTGTGCAATATAGCGATGGGTACAATGGTCTGCTTGGGATCGATAGGAATCTCGGTTGCAGGAATACCATCGATGGTCGTCCTAATTTTAATTAGAAATTATTTCCGATACTGTAGCCACGATTGGATTAGCTATAACATTAACCAAAGTAATAACCGAGTAATAATCTACTTGTAATTCCTGATGACACTGACTGACACTGCTGGTAGTTGTTAATGCAAACGAATTTGTATATTTAATATGCTCCTGATCAATTACCCTGTAAACGAATATTTGGGGTACACGTTAATTGAATCGTCGAATTCGGTCATTTCGAAAATTTCAAATGCAAAGTAGCAGAAATAATTGCGAAATAGTCCGATGAATCCGTGATGCCAATAGGTGTTCCAAATGGAAGCCAATTAATACCGACTCCTCCATCGTATTAAAACCGTTCTGGCTTCCTCTTTCGTTGGATATCTATTTACCTGTCGATTGTGCACGAGCACGTCAAACAACTCGTGCAGAAACTTGGCTATTTTCCATTACGATTATTCCTAAAGCCGGACACACCACAGAGAACAGAACTTTGTGAAAAGTTTCCGATATCCTATACTCGACGATACAATAACGTCTCTTATAGAATTTACATTTTCCATTATTACAGTAAACATAAAAAGAAGAAAAGAAAGATAGGGAAGGGTATAAAAACAAAAATTACCTTTGGAAAAGAAAATATTGCAAGGACAAGTTTTCTAAAATTACGAATTAAATAAATAATTAATTTAAAGGAATACGAGTCTTCGTTATTGTATCGTCAAGAAATAAAAATGGAATGGAGAAATTTTCTGAAAGGGTAAATTAACGAAAAATCAATTTGGAAGCAAAATTTTGTACCGTTTTGCATTGTCCAAAGGTAAAAGATTGGAAAAATAAATCTTCTAAAAATGCAAATTAAAGAGAAACGAATTTACAGCATTAAATTTTTGATCATGCTATCAACTTGCAGTGAAAAAATTGAAACGATGAATTTGCTGGTAATATAAATTAAAGGAGAATGGATTTAGACAGAAATTTTGTACCATTTTACTGTCCAAAAATAAAAAGTGGAGGAATGAATTTTGAGAAATACTGGGAAGGGAGAATTAATTGAGTTACTGCAATTCCAAAGAAATAGTAGTCGATTTGGTAATAAAAGGGAAATTAACGTAATTAGTTAATTCCATAATGGGAACGTTCATAATTCCCAAGAGGTTATATAGAGAGTGGTCGTTAGGGAATTTCCCAAGGCTAAGGGAAAATTGAATCTACTCGAGCATTTTCCAGTCTGCTGGAGCAGATATTACATCTGATGTTCGCTTCGATTTTCAGAAAGAGCTGTTCGGGGCTGGAGAAGCCGGTCAACCGGATGGGGTGAGCAGCCGGAAGATGTCGAATGGCTCGACCGGAAGTACCAAGCACAAATGGTTGAAAGCGTTCAAGAGCTTAAAGACCAGCTCCCCAACGACTCCGCCGTCAGCTGACAAGTTAGTAACTCCTAACGTTCAATGAAAGTCAACCTTTATAAATCCCTTTTTTTTCTCTCTCTCTGTCTCTCTTTTTATTGGTTTTTAGATATAGCGTTTTATTGAAAGTGTGTTAATGGGAAGTTGCATTTGAATAACCAGAATTGTTGTTTTGCCAATGCTTAACTAACACAGAGGAAAACAGGCGATGTACCATGCTGTTTCTACAGTCGTTGCCATGTCCAGGTGAGATTATCACTGACAGCCATGAAAAATAATTTTTAATTATTCAATATATTTAATTCGACATTTAATTAAGAATATAATTAATTGCTTTTCCTGGAATATTATTCACTTTTAACATATTACATTTCACGTGTGTATGTGTGTGTGTGTGTGCTTTAAATGCAATCTCTAAATGAAAACTTATAACATATTTTTTTTAAATATTCTACAGAAATATTTGATTTTCCCTGTATTATGTAATCGTTTACTTAATAATGGAGTATAGTAATTAATAGTAAAGTAATAAAATTTAAGTATACTGTTTACTGAAACCTAGTATCAAATTTTGCAATGAAAAGCTTACATATTATGGTTTTTAGAAAATAGAAAATAAAAAGTATAGTGCAGCAGTCTGCAAGCAGCATGCCATTTTTAAAACATGCAATACCTAATTATTTAGACAACAGAATTGGTCTCTTCCCCCTCGAACGAGGGTATATAATTAGAATCATTAGTATCATTTTCTTGTCTCCTTCGAATCAATCAAAAAATTACACCCATATTTCCTTATTGTGTCAGTATAAGGTATTTCTTGATATGTCACGAAATTTTTTAAATTAGATAAGGTAAGGAATCGCTGATGAAATGCGGTACAAGGAAGAAATAGGTTTGTCTGTGTTATTTTCATGCTCTTTCGCTTTACCCAGGAGCAATCTGTTCCGAGAATATCGCGAAACTCCTCTGAAGACTATTATTAAAGTGACGAAAAAACCACCTGTTCCAGAAAAAGCCTAGAGTCCGAGGGTGGCCACTCTTGGCGCGAATACACATACCGAAAGATCACACCCTGTGATGCATGCGGCCAAGTGCTGCGTGGCCACAGTCGCCAGGGTGTCAGATGTCGTGGCTGCAAAGCGAACGCTCACACCGACTGCATTAACCTGGTGCAACCGGCCATGTGCCCTAGCCTAGCACCCAAAAAGAGCGGCGGGATTCCCCTTCTCCGCCGGCAGAAGACCCAGGCTCAGGTGGACGAGACCGCAGCCGCAGAGTACAGTAAGTACGAACCAGTTTAGAATGTAAATGTGTTAAAATTGTTCTTCTGATCTCCTTTCTCTCTCTGTCTATCTATCTATCTACCTGTCTATCTGTCTCTCTTTCTCTCTCGTTGCCAAGGACGATCGATGCTCCGACGAATCAAACTGATCTGTTCTGCTCTGGACCCAATTCTTGATAACTTGGATAATTTTCAGAAATTCGTGCCGTTGGTTCATCGAAAGCGAAGGTGGCTTCCTTTGTTACGATGGGACCTAGCGGAAGGAAAGGAAGTTGGACGGAAGTCCAGGGTTGAAGGGTAAGGGAGATGACTATCGATTCGATATTAGAGCTAGCGGGGTGAAACAGATTGCGTGAAATTGATGAATCATTAGCGAAATTTAAGCCCCACGACCTAGAATCTAATTCTGGACCAATTTCGGAGGCCGAATTAAAGTTTTGCAGTTAGTTCAGGTTTTAGAGATCATCTCCGACTCGGTTGAGTAGTTGTTTAGAGCTTTGGGTATTCGGAGAAAATTGGCGGGTCGAAGCACGAGTGTTGAAACAGTCAGCGAAGTGTCAGTTTGATTGCAAAGAGCATCGATCGATCCGTCAGCTAGAAGAAAACGGAAGTAAGCGAAGGATCAACACTGCACGAAGCTCTGCTCCTCATCTTTTCACCTCGATCGACTTCCCTGATCACGATCATCGACATGCAAGGCACAAAAGGGTCAGAGATCACGGTGTGCATCACAGTCCATCGCGATTAACCAATTAATCGGATCATTCGCCCTTTAGCCTTCTTCTCCTACGTCCCTTGATCGCCTGAACAGGCTGCAGAAAAGGGAAAACTCTTTCTTTATGGTGTACTCGGTGTTTTGTGTGGCTCGAAGTTGTGGTTGTCCCTGTTCAGAGTCACTGAAGCTCAAGAGTCGATCGTTCGAAGGCTCCTGAAGTTCCAACTCGTCAGTTTAACAGAGATAGTTCTTCTTCAAATGAGAATTTTTGAGCTGACCAATTGAGGTTACATAAGAATGGAAAAAAAATTTGGAGATTTTAAATAACCCTATTTTTGTTGAGAAAATTTTTCATTTGAGAGGGTATATGAGAAAAGATGAAAATTATTGGGGCCCTTCTGGTTAAATTCTCGATTAAACGATGGCTATATACTGTCAATCCTTTCAACTTGATTTACTTCACGCGACGCCACGGTGAACCCATCCTTCGAACGATCGATGCCAATTTTATTAGTTGCTATGACCATACTCGACTAATGTTGCAAATTGACATTAATCAATTTCAAACTGACGTATCTTAGCAATGGACAGATATTCTCTTTGGTTTTTCCAAATTTTGGATAATTTAATATTGGTACTATTACTTTCTTTAATATTTTGTTTTTATTTGCTATGTGTATAGAGTCAGTATCTCTGAACAAGTGACACCAATACACTGTTAATGTACATCAATGAAGTTCAACTCTTGGTGATAAGTATAGCTTCCATGAGCAAGTGTCTTTAAATTTACAGTCACTGCTTGTCAATCTTATTTATTATTTTCTGACCTACTTCTATGTATCGTTTCCCCCTTTATTCGACGCAAGAGAATGCTTCTTCTATTTCACTGATATTGTCTAAAAGTTTGGAGAGATATTACTGTAAGTATTGTAAATTGTTGTCTAAGTAGTACTCCCATATAAGAAGTAAATAAAGACACTTGTTGCCCAAGGAACTAATGCTTCCAGCCATAGAGTTGAGAGCAAAAGTAAGGAAAGAAAAATGAAGCAAGTAAAAGAAAGAAAGGAAAGAAAAAATGACAGAAAAGCACCTAGTGTGATGTCTCTCGTGTGCTTTTGCATTGCTGTCTCTCTATCTCGTGTGGGCAGACGTGGACGCCATATACCAGGTGCTGAAGCAGGCAGGCGAGATTCGTGGAAACTCGACAAACTCACCACCTACGCCTCCCACAGCAGATCATCCTCCAGCACCTTCGTCAGCGAGGGCCTCCTCCCACCCCTGTTCCTCGTCCACCTCTGGTAAGGCACAGCACCGATTCCTCATAACCTTGAAGCAGAACGCCATCTTTTTATATGAAAAGAATACAATCCTACAGTTCTTGAAACAGTGGCTGGAGTACTCTTCAGATGCATCTTACCGTGTAAAGAAAATTGCTGACTAATAGCTCTAGTTATCGAGGCCACTTGATGTAGTAAATTGTAGTTTCAGAAAGTTTCTGCCAGCGTAGAGAACATTTACTGCATTGTGAAAGTTAGAGGTTAAGAATGGACTTAAATTACCTTCAGTTTTAATGGAAATAAATGGATACATGTGAAACATTCTGTCCATATGTTAAGGTAATTGTGTTATATTCTGGCATAGGTATATTGAAGATATAACTGTACAGAAGGTTGAACTGATTGAATTAAATCTTTCAGTTGATCGCAGTTAAAAATAGGAAGCAAGAGAAACAAAGCAAATTTCTTTCGTACGGTACTGCATTTTCTAAAAGATTGCATCCTTTATTTCAATCTTTTGTTCAATTAATTTTAGTTAAGGAAGTTTCATAATGGTTTCTCTCTTCTTGGGACTTTTATTAAATGTCAAATGTATATTACTTCCTTTGAAATGAAAGAATACTTGTCCAGATAAAACTATGAGAATATAAGTCCAGGTAAAACTTGGTACCGATGAGATAATACCATGGCAACGTATAACTTTATTGAAAGTTTTACAATTTATTTTGTAACAGACCTAATGAAAGACCAGTAATTCATTAATTATGTGTTACACATAAGTATTCAGAGACTCATAAAGGAAGCTTATCAGATATTAAATGCATTACTGAAGTGACTCCATCAACTTATATAATAATGCTTGAGTAGTATCTGCTTCAAGGTGGCACGTAACCCTGTTCTCTTTTTTTTATTCTTTTAATCAACAAAAGTATAGTTGTCTTCTTCAGGGACATGACTCGTAATTTTGCCTCTTTTTTCCTTCTTTGTGGTCTTTCCAAACTTTTCTTTGTATCTCTTACTACTTCTCCTACTTCATCTTCATTCTTCCTCTTTATCTGCGCGCCATCTTTACTACTTTTATTGCATCTCAATGCTCAGGGAACCGAATTAATAGTGGCCATAGGTGTGTCTGTAAGCGAGCACTGGTGGAGTTAGCCGTCAGCAATTATCATCATTTACTTTCCCGATGTCATCGAATTGCACTGCCATCTGAATTTTCGTACTCGCGTTCAAACTTTCACAACTGAAACATTTTCAATTTTACAATACCGGATACCTTCGATCGCTGTCGAAACTGATCAATTATTATTGGTCATGCCCTAGTGACATTTTACAACGTACGAACATTTTGAAAAATCGGTAATCTCGATTACGATAAAGCAACTTTCTCGTGAATATTTTTATTGTTTTATTATCGTGCTATGTGTTCACGTGCGTTTACGTCGATAGTTTGCGACGGGAGAAATATAGCAGAGGATTACATGAAATCCTCTGGAGAGCGTGGAAAACACGAAACTCGAGGACACACGTAATGAAATTCATCGCTTGACAGTACCATGAACAAAGGAATAAAAAGTAACCAATAAAACCAAAAGTCCCAAAATGCTTCAACTTCTTCCCCAACAAAATTGATAAAGCCATTGTCGCTAATCCCCAGTCTCCGAAATCGCAAACGTAACAGCGGGAGAGCTAATAAACATCAGCGCCAAAAAAAAACGACTAACCTAAATAAAGTTTATCTCGGGGTCTAAACGCGCAATTCCAACTGATCCCGCTAAGAGGGAAACGAATTACCCAAGGGAGAAAGAGACTAACAGCACTGGTAACGTTGAAAGGAAGCACGAGTAGATGGCGCCACCGGTTCCCACCGGTGAAATTCCGTGAATTGCGTCCACTAGCGAGTAACGTACAGTTCGGTAACGAGCCGAGATTATGAGAGAGAAAGAACCACGTTTGGAGTGGCAGGTGTGAGAAAAAAATATATAATACGAAACAAAATCATCACGGAATCGTTGCAATTCCATTGACCAGGACGAGGTAGCGGTGGATCGATGTCCGGAACCAGGCCTTTCGGACAGCCCCTTGTGCTGATGGTCCATCAAGGGACACCCCCGATCTCGTCCCCGAAATCGTCAGAGCCTCCTTATCGCGGCTCCAACAGGAAACGATGACCTATGAATGGACGCGCGTCGTTTAGCGATTTGCAAGTCAAAGAAAATAAAAATAAAAAGTAAAAAAAAAAAAAAAAAAATTTTAAACACCCGAGATGTTAAAATCGAGCATATTTTC